AGGAAGTTTGTCTCCATGGTAACATGATTGCTGTACAGATTGTTACACGGCTGTTTGTGCTTCATGGTGTTTCCGTGGCATTTGGCCGAGGCCGCCCCCCTCCCACTCGCACACAGTGAGGCTCTGTAGCTGGGAGGGGGCTGACCTGGTTACCCTACTTCTCACTGGGTAGTTTGTTAACTTTGTTACTGGGTTTAACCAAATAATGACTGACAATGAATCCCAGCCTGACCTTCCATTCTTACATAAATGTAAAATGATGTCTGAGTTGTTTGTTCATTATAATAATAATTATTATTATTATTATAGTTGTTGTTGTTGTTGCTGCTGCTATTGTTGTTGTAATTATTAAGATCAGATCACATCACTTCAGGCATACTGCAATTTCTGAATATTTTGTTTATATTGTCTGGTTTTTGTTATTCACTTTTTAAATTACACAAATGCAATGTTCATCTTTATTGTATGATCTGAATCTTAGAAATATATACCCAAATTAAGAACCTTAATTAACAATGAGGATTTTGATAAATGCGAGTTTATTGACTGTGACTTTCTATAATGAGCATGCTGTCCTGTAGGGGGCGCTACCAACCAGCCACAGGTCTCAATGAGCTGTAACAGCTGACGTCATCCAAGCCTGGTAGAAAGATGACAAATTGCAAAACGGTACTTTCCTACCTTGTGACTTGAGTCAGTACAGTTTCCAATTGTGTTGCTGTATATTTTCAGTATTAACCTTCTTGGTGATTATAAAGCCAGATTAATAAGGACAATATATAATGTTATCATAAGACAGAAATATATATGACCAGAAAACATGTATTATTTATGTTACAGTATATAATAACTTTGTTATGTGGCCACACAGGGTCCGGGTCTGGCTGACAGCCTCAGGTTGAACAGCCTTACATGTGTTTTCAGGAAGACAGGCGTGCCAGACGCATTAGCACAGAGTTCAGTCCAGGACGGAGCCACAGATGTCCTTGGTGCATATGTAGGCTAAGCCCCACCCTCCCACAACACCCCCAAATGCACCCCCCGCCCCCCACCCCAGCAGCTGCTGTGGCTGCCCTGCCCCCCCAGCTCAGCACACCCTGAGCAGGTGGCCCGTCTCAGTCTTCATTAGATGACAATACAGGCAGATTAGGCCCTCGCCGGTGATCGATTCTCATTCCCGGCTCTGGGGCGTGTCACGGGGCCCCTGCACACCCGGTTAAGGGCCCTCTGTTGGCAGGGGGCAGAGCCTGGCCTTCTGTACACAAACTTCAAATGAATTGTTCAAGTATTTACTGTAGTGCTGCGTACTACACATAGGAGGTAAGTGACAACAATTACAGCAGGACAAATCTTTGTAAATGGTTAGGGCAGGGGTGGGGAACCCGATCCATGGAGGGCCGGTGTGGGTGCAGGTTTTTCAGATGGCCTCTCAATCAGCCAATAACAGTGGGTCCCCAGGACTGGAGTTGAGAACCATCGCTTTATTATTGACTGATTGAGAGGTCATCCCAAAAAAATGCACCCACACCGGCCCTCCATGGAACAGCTTCCCACCCCAGGGTTAGGGTGTCAGGGTTTGTGGTGGTGAAGGACATAGGCTCAGGGCTCAAAGCAGCCCCACCCTGCTGTAGTGAAATGGGTGAAGCTGTAAGAGTCTCTGTGGAGCGTGAGTACTGTAGTGTCGGTGCTGTGGAGATTGAGTATTGCACCATCAATGCTGAAACCTCAGTGTCGGCCATTGTGGAGCTTGAGTACTGCAGTGTCAATACTGTGGAGCTTAAGAACTGCAACATCAGTGCTGTGGAGAGTGAGAACTGCAATGTCAGTGCTTTGGAGTGTGAGAACTGCATCATCAGTGCTGAAAACCTCAGCGTCGACCACTGTGGAGCGTGAGTACTGCAGTGTCAGTGTTGTGGAGCGTGAGTACTGCAGTGTGAATGTTACGGAGCATGAATACAACAGTGTCAGTGCTGTGGAGCGTGAGTACTGCAGTGTCAGTGCTCCGGAGCATGAGTACTGCAGCGTCAGTGCTGTAGAGCATGAGTACTGCAGTGTCAGTGCCGTGGAACGTGAGTACTGCAGCGTTAGGGCTGTGGAGTGTGAGTACTGCAGCGTCACTGCAGTGAAGCGTCAGTACTGCAGCGTCAGTGCTGTGGAGTGTGAGTACTGCAGTATTAGTGCTGTGAAGCGTCAGTGCTGTGGAGCATCAGTACTGCAGCGTCAGTGCTGGGACCCTCAGTGTTAGGCTCATAGAGCTGCAAACAGTGTCACTCTTGTGCTCCCTGAATTTGGGTGACAGGAATAAACAGCCCCTTTGCTGTTTTAGTTGTTTCTTTTATGTCCCCCTCCCTTTCCTGCGCCTCCACCCTTTGGTGGGTGCAGGCCGCAGTCCCCGAGGAGTGTTAGAAGGGCCTCTTCCTGGCGCTGAGGCCCCAGCCCCCCCAACAGCCCAGTCCATTGCAGGCCGCCTTCGAACCGACCGGACTGAAAGCCCAGTGGCCTCCAGGGGAACATACATATATCTCCGTCTCGCAAAAAGACACATGGACAGGGGTGATCCTGCTTCGTGTGATGATTCTTTTTACGTTGTTAAGCCCTATTAAGTGTGCCCACTTTCTGCTCTTCTCAGCCCAACCCATCAACAGCAGCTCCATGGCACCTCGACAGTTAACCGTGCCACTGCACTCGGGGTTGCCAGGGCGACGCTGAAACACCTCTCACTCGTTCCATGAGGCCCAGCCGACGTCTCAAAGGTCTTTTCATAGTGTACGGCTGCAGGAGGAAGCATGGGGGGGGGGGGGGGGGTTGGAGTACTGAACGCAGAACACTGAAGGGATGGGGGCGCATCTGAGGCAGGATAGATGATGTTCCTCATCTGCATTTGGGGGAATAAATGAATAACACAAAAGTTCTTAAAAATCAACCTTTTTCTTCTTGGGCCTTAGCCAGTGTCAAGCTACAGGTGAGGGCTCTCCAGTAGGAGGTCTGCAGGGCTGTGCCAGGGGCGTTCATGCTCGCCGGCTCCCTCCAGCTACGTGGGCAGGTACTGAGAGCCCCAGACAGCATCCCAGCCACCCCCCTCCCCATCAGCCTACGGATCCCCATCATGCAGCAGATGTCAGACCTGCTTAGGAACCTGATATTGCTGTACCTCCCCTTCACCTGCTTTTTAAACCTGCAACCTTTTTTTTCCCTTTAATTCAGAACACTTACAGAGAAAGCAATGGCAGAATGCAGTGAATCCATCCCGCGTAACCCTACATGCTCAGTGGGCATGGTAGAGTGGGGGGGGGTTGGGGGTAGTGAGCCACCCTGACCTAGTTACGAAGCTCAGGAGCTGGGCCGGGCTGCTGAAACCTTCCCGCCAGAACTGGGCCCGGTGCTGTGCTGGCGGGCGCTTGCCAGATGACTTTACCATCGCTGCGATAATGGCCGGCCATCTGCCGTCTGGCACACACAAAGGCTGCCAGTGTGAGCGGCCCCAGAGAGCGGAGGGGGGGGCTGGAGGGGGGCCCTCATAGGGGCTGCCGGACCCTGCCACATTGTGTGGCCTCCTCCCTGCACAGGACAGAGCCGTCACACACAGCCACCGCTGTGCAAAGGCCTCTCGCCGCACATGCAGGTGGCAGTCTTCCATTTTAACCCTGGTATGATGCTGGAGTTTATGGGAAACAGGAGGGTCATTTTGTAAGAGAGACACGGTGGTGACTAAAACAGTTAAGATTGTGTCAGGGTTCGAAGGCGGCACGCCTCTGGCGTTTCACAGGTGAGCAGGACTTGGTGTGGAGGCTGACAGCAATAGCTTCATGTTCCCTCTGTTTTGGATGGCCTTTAGCTAACAGAAGGCATATCGACATGCACCTCCCCCCCCAACCCACGCCTCCTCTATTCAGAGCCAATTGAGCAGGGGGGCAGGAGAAACCAACAGGCTTTAAGAACAATGGAGCCAAAGGGCATTATTCCAGTGGTAAGGGAGTCCTCTCAGCCCCCAGCTGACCTGTGGAGAGCCCCCTTGTTTGAGAAGACACATATCCCGGGGGACACCCCCCCCCCCTTTCCTGGTCACAGCAGGGCACTGTATTCCCTTGCTAGCCCCTCCCACCTCGCCTTCCTACCACCAGCACCTGGCCCAATCCTTCAAACGAGGTACCCTGTCCCAGGTGCTAATCCCCCCCGACAGGGCACACCGGGGCTCGCCGGTGGCCCTGACGCCGAGAGAGACTCACGCGGTGTACCGTAATGACATATAGTGTTTTATTTCTCAAAGGAAGCACATGCATTACAATGGCAGCAGGCATGAATACAGAAGATGACCCTGCAGGAGAAATGAGAGACAACAAAAACCATCAAAAACACGTGAAAAAGCTCAGCTCGGCACTGCTCGTTTGCTGCCTGACAGCCTCTGCTACATGGACTTAACATCCGTCAGAACCGACAATCGGTTGGAGCGAGCTTTACAGAACCAGAAGGTAACATTCATCAATTCAGCAGAAACACAAAGTGAAGAGACTCAGACAGCTGAACATCTGAGCAAACTGCGATCGCGATGCTGAAGCCACCCATCGGCAGTAGTGCTGTACCGTGTGCAAGTAAAACCTTTCGCTTTCCCTAGTAGGTAGAGTGTATCTCAGTTAAAATTAATGCTCGACGGCCCCATAAACATCACCCAAACCAGCTGGTTTAGGTCCAGGGGCCTGACATTGAGTGCTATTGACTAGCTTAATAATTCACAGACATTGTTAACAGTAGAAGCACAGGTTCGCTGGAACGGGAAGATGTTTTTAAAGGTCAGCATTAGTTGACAGCCAGTAAGAAGCTCAGCTAGTGTCTTTGCTGGTCAGCGTTTCATAGGATTTCTACAGTGCACCTTCCTAGCTGTTGTACATGAAACATAACAGGGCCCAGACAGCTTCCTGATTCTGTCTCTCACATGTATAGAGAGACCCCGCCCCCTCGCTATCAGTAGCAGCAAACATCAAAACCCCCCACCCCAGCCCCGCCCTATAGCCAAACGCCATGCCCCTAAATGGACAACGAGAGGCGGGGCCCAAACCCAATGTCCATATCACGTCTCCACCTGCTACCCATCACGCAACACAAAACCCGACATCCAGAAACACACACGCGTTTACACAGTTAAAAAGTGCAATTTGCCTTGGTTTAGACGCCACAAGCTGGACGTTATCTGGTTAGAATAAAGACTGGCTTCGCTTCAACCGACTTTGAGAAAAACACGTTAACTTCTGAAACAATTAAATTTGTGCTCAATATCAAAAACACCTTCAAACCCCCAAGGAATGAATACTTGTGTTAAGTGAGGCAGTGAACTTTGTAAAGTTAGAGAACATAAGTGTAAGGAAGCCAAATAATTAAATTGAAAAAAATTAAGTCTTCATATTTTAGAAATAAATAATTATTAAACTATTTAATAAATAGAACCTACAACCCTATGCAATCAAACATTGGTCTGACCAACAGGACTGCTAATGGACTGACTCTTTGAGACATGAGACAGCAGGGTGACAGAGAGTCTCCTCGAGCCCCACCATGATTCCAACATGGCTACTGGTACAGGTGCAGAACACAGCCACAAAGCCAGAGATACACAAATAACACTCCAGAAGCCTTAGAGGGGAAAATAAATTAAAGGAGAAAAGCAAAAGGTACCTTCCTGACTGACATCGTCTCCAGTCAACACACTGTACAATACATTCAAAAAAATGTCTCGACGGGAGGAATACTGTGTGCAAGCAGAGCCTTCATCCTCGGAGTGAACATGACCGCACCACAGTGCCGCTCCCGTCGCCGTGACGACCCTCTGGGCTGGCCGCCCCCTCCGCTCCAGCACTGCATCTCAGCTCCTTAGCCTTCTCACTTATACCGATGCAGCATTTGCAGGTTTTAGCCGGTTATGCTGAGTATATATGTTCATTCGCTTTTATGCCTATATACGATATTCAAAAAAAGCAGCTCCGCTATAACCCAGGAGCTCAGCGAAAGCCGGTCATTCTGAACACATAGATTAATGCACAGGACTTAAAATGTTCTGTCCGTACGTAGGAAACGCTGGGAAGTGTCTACGAGTAGCTGATGGCGGATTCTATTAAAAAAAAAAAAAGAGAGACCTCGATAGACAATGATAGTAACCGTTTTTACACTGACGCCAGGTGATCTATCTACAGTCTAAAATGGCGTCCCATTGTCACGTTCACTCAAGTGCCAAAGAAAGTCGTTTCAGCTGTTCCATCTTGGTTTTCCTCAAATACCATTGTAGAAAATCCATCATGAACAAGAACAACTGGGAAAATACAGATATGAATGATGTAACTGCTTTCTCGCGCCTGCAGAAATATACGGCAGCTTCGATAAACGTTGTGCGGACAGCTAAAAAGAAACCAGCACGCTTCAGATTGACTACAAAGGATTGTCTAGGTTTCAGGCCTGCTCATCAGAAGACATCCAGCTTGACTGACAGCTGGAGGGCGGGGCCTCCCCCCTTCACAGCACCAGGGCTCTGGCGGTGGTCCCGCTCGTGTACGCGCTGAGGTACTTCCTGGCCTGCTCCGTCATGATTAGCTGGTCTTCCGTCTTGCCGTAGACCACAGTCTCCCACTCGCTGTTCGCCTGCAGAGGGGGGTTTGGCAGCTGTTAAGGAACACGCCCAGAGAGGAGCCCACGCGTGGGAACTCAGACTGAGCCATCTGCTCCCAGCCTGCACCTGGCTGGCCCGTGTGAACCATCAGCAGAGTGTCACTGGTAACACTGAAACAGCCACATACACAGCCGGCCTGTGCCCTACTTACACCACATGAAACACAGCATTCCCTTGCACTGATCCACCCTTCCGCATGGTGATATCTTACACAAAGCCCAGTGTACCTGGATGGAGGCTTCATATCTAGGCGTCCTGGGTAGGGTAGGGTTTTCCTTCCCCACTGGGGGGCTGTAGGGATGAGCGGGGATGCAAGCCCTCCCCACCTCGTCTTCCGCTGGTAAGGAAGTGCACTCCTCTTGTTCCTGGAGGGGTGTCATCAGCAGCGAGCTGGTCAGGAGGCCGTCCCCGGCAGGCTGCGATAGGGAAGGGCAAACGCCTTTGTAAGGAAAACCAGCACGACAACAGAGTCCTTCTGGGCAGACAAGGGTAGGTCTCTTCTTATGGAAAAATATTACGTAGACTTCAAATTAAACCAACTAGTATCTTAATTTAGGTCTTTGTTTTTAGAGCAGTTAAATATGATCACTACGTCATTTAGAGTTCTTAGAGAATTTTCTTACTTTTAACTGAGCTTATTCGTTCTGGATTTTAGCACATAAAGCGATATACACAAACATAATATGAAACCAGTTTAATGTCAAATCTGGGACTGTGGGACAGCTACAGATTGGCACAATGTTAGCAAGACATTTGGTCAGTTGAGGGACTGACACCTGCTCATTGACTGAATGAGGTGACTCAGAGGCTACAAGGCAGCTTATCGCTGTATAATATTACAAAGTCGCTCACCTTCGGTTTCACTCACCCAAGTGACTAGTCAGAAAGCTAGTCACTATACTGTAACACCCTCTGCTCTAATGCTCTAATGCTAGTGCTCCCTTGTGCACTATTCCTGGCCAGGAACTACAGTGACATCACTAGCTAGGACTCTACTAGACACAGTATTTTTAGAAAAGCCAGAATTAAAACAATTTATTTGCTGGGCAGGAATGTCACATATCAATTACTATTAAAAACATAGAGACTTATCTAAAGTGGCCACATTACAAAACTATACTAAGCATGTAAAACACATTCCCAACAGAAGACATACAAGAAGACATGAGAGACCTTATTAAACGAGATGCACCAGGGAAGCAGAGCTTTCCATCAAGGCCAGATCCACCTAACGTCGGATGAATGGGTGAAGGTGCCTACAGCATCTGGGATCAGTGCTGCAGCAGGTACTGACCTGAGAGCTGCTCACCTGCTCCTGGGAGAAGAGCTGCACGTTCAGGCTGTCCTTTCCCCAGGAGTCCAGCAGCAATGACTTCCGCACTTTCCTAGCAGGGGTGTCGAACTGCGGGGGAGCACATACAGCCTGTGAGAAGGTGTGTGTGTGTGTGGGTAAGAGGTCTGTATGGAGAGGGAAGTGTGTGGGGAAGAGTTCAGTGTGGGTAAGAGGTCTATGTGGGGGACTGGTCTGTGTAGGGGAGAAGGGGTGTGTGTGTGTGTGGGTAAGAGGTCTGTATGGAGAGGGAAGTGTGTGGGGAAGAGTTCAGTGTGGGTAAGAGGTCTATGTGGGGGACTGGTCTGTGTAGGGGAGAAGGGGTGTGTGTG